GACTAGGCGAGCAAAGTGAGCCTCACTTGTCTGGGGGCCAGGGGCCGCCTAGGGTCCCGGTGGGGGTGCAGGGGGCAAAGACCCCCCCATGGAAGCTACGGATATTTTACGAATTATGGAGAATTTTTAATACTTATTTAATAGGCATCGTGTTAGTATAATATGACTTACTGTTCTGTTCATGTATGTTTTCTAATGTCTAAATTAGCTTCCAAAACCAAAACATTTTGATAACACAAGAAACAAAGAGTATAACATGTAACCATCTAGGCCTAATTTATTTTCAAATACTCATTTTTCAAAGTGATATTCTGCATGTTGGATATTTTGCATGGAATCTGTCAACTACGCTGTCAAGGTCGAGTTTGCTTCCCCTATCACGATGTATTCCAAGCATCATGAGGCTATTCAAACGAGCATTTGTCATACCAGAACGCAGATCATTTTTAATTAGTCTCATTGAACTAAAATTGCGTTCACATTCGGCTGACGAAACAGGCAGAGCGCATGCAACTAAACTGATACGCTCCAACTCAAAAAATACTTCCTTCAGCTCTTCTAGATAAGTGTGTAGCTGGAGAAGAGATCCAGGTCGCTGTTCTAGTGACTTCCGGTCCAATAAATGTTTAAACGTAATCAATTTACTGTTAAGAATATCTGTATTTGCTTTAAAAAGTCGAGAAAAGTCCGTAAGTGGGCCTGGTTCAAGGAACGTCTTGGACGTCGGGCACAAAGATGATATTCCTTTCATTATCGTGAGGTTTTTGTCACTGAATCTTCTGTTAAGTTCGCCGTCTATTTTATCGATGACTTCAAACACATTTTGGACGAAAACATCAAATCCATCAGTAGTATGCTGTTGAATATTGCTTTCAACATGGTAAGCACTTAAAACAGCAGGTGGCGCAACTTTTCTTTTGGGTCTCGATGTTTCAGGCAAGCACAGCTTGTCTGCAATCGTTTCTGCGGCTTCCCAGAATTCCTGACAACTTTTTCTTGTCCGGCAGTCAATTATCTCTTCTTTGAGCGTACCAATGAGGTCAACAGCGTGTGTTAAGTCGTTTGATGGGTTTTGAAGCATGTCGGATGCAAACTTAGCTTTTGTTAAAACATGCCTCAGCACGGACAGGTATCGGAGAAATCGACGATCTATCTGCAACAAATAACCAGTTGCTTCAGTAACACGACTGGAATTACTGTCGTTGTCGATGACTTCATTAAGAACCTCACATACTATTTCCATCCGATTCCAAAGGGCGTTAAACTGCTTCGCCTGGCATGACCAACGGGTGTCTGATACTCTACTAATTTCCATTTGTTTTAGACCATGCTTAGCTTGCGTCTTTTCCCACCTAACATGTACTGTACTGGAACTAAGGAATTAGTGAAGCTGCTTGAACAATGCTACCATGTCAGAAATGCACTTAACTGATTTTGAGACGTCAACAATGACTAGGTTTAACCTGTGGCAGAAACAATGGACATAATATGCCATATCTGCTCCCGTTTTCTGTGGTAGCTTACGCTGGACTCCATTTAAATGCCCAGAAACAACTGAGGCGCCATCATAGCCCTGTCCAATACAATTCATCATTATTGGCTTCAACCGACATCAGTGATGGTGTCTGATAGGCCATCAACATCCAGACTGTGTGCTTCAGCGACATCAACAAATTCTTCATATATTGCATTTTTAAAGCAATATCGAACAGCGACAACTACCTGTTCTTTCTTGGATTTATCTTTTGATTCATCGGAGAGGACCGAGAAAAAACAGGCTTCACGGAGCTCTTTTTTTATTTGTTCAAAAACCATGTCCTTCATGATTTCTAAAAGCACGTTCTGGACACTGTGATGAGTGTATTTGGCATTTCCCGGTCCAGAACGAATCTTTTCTGCAATTACGTCGTCATGTTTTGCAACTAAGGAAAGAATAGCAAGGAAGTATCCACATGAAGGACCGAAGTTGATGTTCTCGACATCGATGTTGCTTATTCGGTAAGATCATCCAGTCTCACGTTGTGATATCTTTCGCTGGGCAGTCAACAGCAAAACCTCGCAAACTGTACGCATGTAGTGCCAAGTATTCTTAATGAGATTTTCGAACGCGTCGTTGTGAAGTTCTGAGATAGATTTTGACGTACCCGACTTGATAGCATTGTAATGTGTACACGCATCAACACTTTCGGCATGTTGGGTACTGCATTGGTGTTGCAATAGCTTGTTTGATTTTGTATTCCCATAACACTTTTTCCAGTTACAGAAACCCGTATCTTCTCTGCAAAATGTCTACATTTAAAGCAGTATACTGTGTCTTCATATTTGGAGTATTCAATCCAAGGATATTTGTCATATAATAAAGGACTAAATGCTCTGTATTGCTTTCCAATCAGTTGGGAAGGGAAAGTTATATTTCGAGGTTGGACTGGCTCACTGTCTCTTGAAGATGAAAGATCGCTTGGGCTCAAACGTACAGCCACGCGCTCTAGTTGCATTTTCATAGCTTCCGTCTGTCCTCCTGTTACTGGCGGTCTTAATACTTCATCGGTCACTGTAATAAAATATACAATGAAATAAAACTATTTTACAATTGTCACGTGCTTGAATTATAAGCCTATCCTTTCGGTCAATTGGTTAACTTAAATGCCAGACAATAGCAAGTTTGTGTTGTCTTCAGTATCTATATAATGTATGCTATTGTCAGTAAATGCCTGACAATAACAAGTTTGTCAATATTTATTCAAAATTTGAAGAAGACCATACTCAACAGTAGGCCTATTTGTGTTTCATTTATTTGAGAGTTTTACACTTCATGACATCACACTTCGGAATTTACATTAAATAATGGCAGATATATATTACTTTTATTAACATGAGAGTGTCAGAGCTGAGTGTAAGTGTCCATTTACCTAAAATCCCAGCTGTGTCGGCTTCGTCGTCTTCAGTGTCTGTATATTCTTCAAAGGCAGCTTCTACACTACTGCTGTCGTCGGATTCGGAACTACCACTTTCACGATCTGATTCAGGTTTCATAACCTCCATTTCTTTTTCAGACAGACCTTCAAGATCTATATAATAGAATTAACAACTTGAGCTTGACTTTTCTACCGTTAGCATAACACCAATCAATTGCATAGCTTTTTGTACAGCTTATTGTTACCGAAAATGGATAGAAAAATAAGCATTCATTATTATTATTATTATTATTATTATTATTATTATTATTATTATCATAATAATAATTATAATTATTATAATTATATCATAATGGAATCATAAGTAACTTACTGTCATCACTCGATCGCGTTTCAATTTCTTTACTGGTTGCTAAGGGCTCTGCTTTATGTCTCTTAGACGAGGAAGTACCACCACCAGAACTAAAGAATGAATCCATCGTTCGTTGTTTTTTATCTGACTCTTCAGCAATGAACGCCACTGGTGCAGTGCGACCGGATTCATACATATCCCTATGCTTTGACTTCGTATGTCTTGAAGCATAATCATTCTGAAAAAACTTCATTGCAAATAGTGCAGCGCACATGAAAACGATTCGCTTTCGCCATTGGTACCTGAGGCCTACATACAAGCACTTCTGCAAGTAGATACAGTCTGAAAAAACTGTATAAAAATGATGCAGTACTTGACTCTGATTCGTGTGTGCGTGGGTGGGTGGGTGTGTGTGTGGGAATGACCGCGCGTACACTCTGTACATTGTTGTCATGCCAGTCAACATATTATCATCTGTTGTTTCATGGGCTTAATTCAATGTTAAAAAGCAATATATAGTCTGATAACTTATTATTATTATTATTATTATTATTATTATTATTATTATTATTATTATTATTATTATTATTGTTGTTGTTGTGATGGAACGTTAATACAAATAGTTAAATAAAAGTAATACGGTGGCTAAACGAACATTACATGTAATTTTTTTTTTCATTTTTTATTCCCCGACAAAATTTATTCGTCTTCCCCGACAGGGAGGCTATAGCCCCCCAGCCCCCTCTGGCGCCACCCTTGAGTGCAACTAGAGTTCTCATAAAGGATATACCGCTTTCAGTACGTAATGACGAAATTTCGGACTCATTAAAGAAGATGGGTTGTAAAATCATAGGTGACGTACAATACGTTAGGTTCAGAATACACGATAAGTCATCACGATTTTTAAACGGTGATCGTGCTATTCTCGTTGAACCATTTAAAGGCAGCTTACCACGTCTCATAAAAATCAACAACTTTAATGATATCATAAAGACCAGCAAGTCGAAATAAAATGCTTTGAGTGTGGACTTATTGGCCACAAAATCTATGAATGCCCAAGAAAATTGCAGCCACAGTGTTTAACTTGTGCAACAAATCTGGCCATCTTGCAAGAAATTGCAATGCCAATGTAGGTGAGAGTGAAACCACTTCACTTACTGAGGTACCTTGTACCCGTAATGATGTAACTAATGAACTTAGCGTCGAAGTGATGGAGGAAAGTGTAGCTGAAATATCAGAAGAGGAAGATGAACTGCCTGACACTTCCACTGAAAAAGCAAGTGACGTCATTGAAGCCCTCAAAGAGCTGCTAAACAAACCTGCAAATCCAAAAAACATCCCAGAGTCCATAGAATTAGATGAAAGAAGCAATCGCAAAAGTGAAATCCACCAGTCAAGATGAAGAAATATCAACGGACAAACAGGATTATCAGTTCTCGTCCAAAGAGAGAAAAAAGTTGAAACAACGAGAAAAGAAAAGAGCAGCACAAAAAAGCAAAGGAATGAGGCCCATTACCGATTTCGCTAGAAACCCAGAAACAAGCGTCCTCGAAAACAATGCTACTACAGCACAAGAGACCTTTGCTGCCACCAAAAGGAAAAAGCTGACAGAAAGCAGTGAAGAAAAAAATTTAAAAGAAAGAAAAATATCTGATTCTGTAAGTTAAATTCTCTGTTTGGCAGTAAATTGGTATTCATATAAATACAAATAAAATAAATACAAATAAATGAAAAAAAAATGAACAAAATCAACTTCATACATTTAATATCATTAAATGTAAGAGGTATGAGAGAAAGTTTTAAAAAAAGAAAAATTGTTAGTTGGTTGAAGGAACAAAATGTGCAGATTGCCTTTATGCAAGAAACACATTTTGATAGAAAAATGGTAAAGTGTAATGACATGTTATGGAAGGGGTACATGTATCATAGTTTTGGCACATCTAATAGTAGAAGCGTGTCAATATTCATCAATGAAAGTTTTGGTACAAATGATATAAAATGTAAATACATAGATGATGAAGGAAGAATTTTAATATTGAGTGTAAAACTTAACAACAAAACATATAATTTAATAAACATATATGCCCCTAACAACTACAAAGAAAGGGCGGCTTTTTTTAAAAAAAAGCTTGAAACAAAGATAGTTAAAACATGTAATACAGCAAATGAATATATCATTATAGGAGGCGACATGAATTGTATACTAGAAAGAGCTTTAGATCAACGGAATAGTGTTGATAACTATGACAAATACCCGATAGTCTTTAAAAAATGTATGAATAAATTTAATTTAACAGACATATGGAGGAAATCCCACAAAAATAAAATGCAGTTTACATGGAGACGAGGAAACACGTACAGACGATTGGATCTTTGGTGCTTGTCATGCGCCTTATATAGAAACGGAGACTTAATGTCCACAGATCAGACCGTCAATATTTTCAGATCACCAGGCCATTTCCCTTAAGTTACTCGATAACCAACAAAAAATATGGAAAATAAACAACAGTATTCTACATGAAGACACATACTTACATAATGTAATAAAAATAATTGAAAAAATGAAAAAAAAAGAAAACAATCTTAGCCCTGACCGGCTATGGGATTTTCTTAAAGCAAAAATTAAAGAATACTCAATTAAATATTGTGTTAAAAATTTAAAAAAATACGAAATGACAAAAAAGACACACTAAGTAAAGAGATTAATGATCTCACGCAAAAATTAGACCTCGCTTATGATTAACACATTGATATTCAACTACGAGAGAAAATAGCAAAGCTAGATGATCTATACGCAGTTAAAGCACAAGGGGCAAACATCAGGTCTAGAATAAAATGGTTTGAGAAGGGTGAAAAAAACAAGTTTTTCCTAGGCTTAGAAAAAAACAATGCAAAAAGAAAGCATATTACTTCATTATTGAAAAGTAATGGAAGATACACGTCAAATTATTATGAAATTGTGAAGGCACAAGTAGAATTTTATAAAAAGCTGTACGAAAGTAAACAAATTCCGGAAGGATATATAAAAGAGTACATGGAAAAACAAAA